ATACACTCAATTTAAGAATTACGTACTTATTTCGAGATCGTTTTTGCAGTGTGCCAAGACGGACTGGGGTTTAAGGACATAGAAGCAGAGATACTGAAGGTTAACTAGTTCTTCAGGTGGTCTCATCCAGGAAATACCCAGCCAAGCAGACAACCTCTAGGCCAATTCCCATGTTAGAGAATGAAAGGGAGCACATACTGATATTCACAAAAAAAGGAATAGGACTGTACTGTGGCGGCCCAGTGGTTAGGGCTTGGAATCCTGACGGAAACAGACGGGAAGAAACAGACAACAAAGAGTTATGGGTGGAACTAACAAATACTGCAGAATGGGGGAATAGAGATAAAAAGAAGCAGAATGATGAAAAATGGTCTCAATGTCTTACCTTGCAAGCAAGACGAATTGTCGTGAGATTTTTTAATTCACAGGCTCCCTAAAGTACATCTTTCCAGATCGATAATTGTTGTCCAATTTGAATAGTACTTGGTTTTAACCTGGCTTATTCCAGGTTACCCTTTGTCTTCCAGCAGCCTAAATTTATAGCAGCATAAATGTAGAAAATAGCTGAGGATAACTATTTTGAATAGGTATAAGTAAGGTAGAGCCAAGGGAAAACGTCTGTTCGGACTGAATCCTCCCTCATCTAATTGGGCTGTTCACTCTACTTTGCAGGGTCGGATCTAGATGGGTGGTCAGGGGGCCATGGCCGCCCCTAGCCAATAATTGACCACACCCACCAGGTGATTTGTTGTTCCCTTTCGGATGTAATTCGATACCCCTGAAACAAGCAGTTTTCCTCTAAGCCTGAAGGTGGCAGCAGTGATACCATCGTTAAATTTAGACTTAGACTTTGTCATTTAGTATACAGTGAGTGTATACAAACAAAATGATGTTGCTTACAGCTTCCAATATTGAAATGAGCAGCTTACAACAGTGCAATTAACATTACTATTTGAAGTGCAGCAGTGATCGTCATGTAAACAGCATAGGAGAAACAGAAAACCAGTTTAAAAAACATAATTGTGCATAAGGTCATTGATATAGAAAGGCTCTGTGCAGTGCAAAATAAATATGGTGCAAAATGCAGTATACCATTGAGTTGTGTCTTATACAAGTTTCAGCCTCATTGGTGATGCAAAATAATGTTGCGAGTATGACGCAGAGTCCAGGTTAGAGTTTAACAGTTCAACAGTATGATGGCAGTGGGGAAAAAGCTGGTGCAGAAACTGCTGGACCTGCAGCGGATGCTGCAAAGCCTCTTTCCAGAGGGCAGCAGGGAGAACAGTCCATGGTGGGGGTGTGAAGGATCAATGATGATGTGTCGGGCTTGGGACACGCAGCTCTGGGATGAAACATCCTTAATGGAGGGAAGAGGAGCCCTGATGATCCTCTCTGCTGTTCATACCACTCTTCTCATGTTCCAGTCTGAGGCGCTGCAACTTCCACACCAGACAGTGAGACAGCTGGTCAGAATACTCTGTATGGTTCTATAAATTTCCAACTGTGACATTTTAACACTGGTATGGTAACCAAAAAATGAATAAAAAATGTAGCATAGAATAGTTCATAGCAATATGCAACTAAAAAACTAAAAAAAGGACTAATACAGATGTTTGCTCTTTTATGAATTTGTATTTAGATTTTGCAGTGGAGATTTTGTTCAATCACGTTAGAGTCTTCTGTGTGATTAAAGAACATTGCTTAACCAATTAATTTAATGGCAATGATATATAAATATGTTCATGACTTTATCTGCATGGACCCTATTGAAAGTCTAGTCTGTCTTTGTAAATTTGGAAATTAAGATGTTGTGCGCATTCATTTTCCTGTTGGTTTGTTTTGATCAGTATAAATTAACCGCAAGATGTTTTTGGTGCTTATCAGTTTTCGGGGACCCCTCATTGGCCATCCCTATGAACATTTTCTGGAATTGCCACTGCTACCTTCTCCTATATCTCTACTTGCCCAGCGACTATTCAAACATTACAGTTTTTAACTATAAGCTTTTTGAAAAAAGGAAAGTTTCAAGCTTAGCCTTAAAAGTAGGCAGGTGGTCTGCCTAATGGATTAGAAGTGGTAGTGGGTTCCACAGGAGATGAGCCTGATAGCTAAAAGATCTGCCTTCCTTTCTACTTTTAGACATCCTTGGAACCATTAGTAAACCTGCAGATTGAGAGCGAAGTTCTCTGTTAGGAATATAAGAAATGATCAGATCCCTGCTATAAGATGGAGCTTGGTTATTTAGGGCTTTATGTGTGAGAAGGAGGCTTTTACATTTTATTCTAGATTTCACAGGAAGCTAACGAAGAGAAGCTAGGATAGGAGAGATATGTTCTCACTTTTTAAATTTCCTCAAAACTCTGGCTGCAGCATTTTGGATCAGCTGAAGGCGTTTACTGCAGCTAGTGGAATTTATGGCATTAAAGAATTCATATCACATATCAATAGTCCAGCCTTAACATAACAAATGCATTCATTAGCCTAGTTTCTCAGAATCAACCCTGGACAAGATATTTCTAGTTTTGAAGAAGGAAACTCTAGAAACCTCTTTGATTTTGTATTTAAATGAGAGGTCATGACCAGAAATCTCACCAAAGTTTTGTACTTTATTGTCTGATATATGTAACAGGATATTAAATGCTTCATTTAATATCCTGTTGCTCTGCAACTGTTAGAGCAGGAGTATCCAAGCCCATCATTAAAAAGGTTAAGACTATTTCAGTCTCTCACTAATTCAAGCTCTATTTGTGTCAATTACAATAATTTCCTGCAAAACTGGTTATACATTTAAATGTTACATGTTTTTATTCCAGAAATGTGGACCTATTGAAATGTATCTTTAATAAAGGTTGTTATTTTCTGGTCTCTGTAGATGCTTGGCAACGAGAACTTCATTTGATTCAGGTGTGCAGGAGAGAGAACGCCTATAAAGGTTTCAGGATAATAGCTGCAGAGAACTGAATGTGGGTACAGTTAATTAAAAAGGCTGTAGAAGGTGGGAGGCAACTGTTGTCTTTAGCAGTGTCACATTTCACTTCCACACCCCCATCATGAAGTTCCCTGTAAAGCAGCTTTACTTTATTTTCTTGGTTTTGTTTCTTGGCATTTCTGCAGATCTGCAATGTAAGTAAAATCACACGACTTGTATCCAGCATTGTATTGACCGTACTTTTAACAATCATACATTCTTTGGTTAAAAACAAAATGAGATCATGATAAAATACACTGAATCGCTGATTTGGACATTGTCCGTTCTTTATCTGCAAACTATGTGTGTTCAGAGGTGATAACTCTGGCAGCATTTTTCAAGCTGTTTTTTAAGCTGCTTCATTGTGCACACTCAGTTCTTCTATTTTGATTTCCAAAAGAGCTGCGGTGGAGATGTTCGGAATAACACAAGCCTAAGCATGTTCTCTTAACAGATTTGAGTGAATTTACATGAATGTTTTTATGCACAGTAGTTGAAAACTTGGATATATCTGAGCAGCAGTTGGTTTATAATACTTAAAACTCCCTGCAAGTTTAATGAAGAGTTGACAGGAAAAAGTGCTTTTTGAAAAACTGTTCTTTTTAGTTTACAACTTTGTGTTAAAGTCCCATCCAGATGATGAAGTTCTATATGAGGCTCATTTTTACCCAAAAACTGTCAGTTCTGCCTCTTCTCCTCCTCTGAAGTTATATCCTTTCAGATCTTCCAGTATATTGAGAATATGTATATACATATTTATTAAGAATTATGATTTTTCCCAGCAAATGAACTATTTATCTTTTATTGAAAAATGGAACAGGATGCGGTTAGGTTTATGTTTGGTTTAGGTTATATTTTTAACTTTTTACTGAAAAGCTTTAAAATCCTGATTGGTTTCTATAAACCCTGACAGCCCCAGAGGTCCAAACAAAGCTTGGCAGACTGAAAGGCCAGTATGTGAGCGTGAAGGGGAAGGAGATGGGTGTCCATGCCTTCCTAGGTGTCCCCTTTGCTAAGCCCCCCCTGGGACCCTCCCTCAGACTGGCTGCACCTCAGCCCCCAGAGGGATGGTCAGGACTGAGAGATGCCACCAAGCAACCCAAGATGTAAGTTTTTCTCCAGTTTTAGGAAACTTTCAACTGGGTATTCTCTTTAGTGTTCACAAAATGATCTATCTGGCAGGTGCATTCAAAGCAAGGAAACTGCTAATGAGCTACTGGAAAAACTTGGTACCCTGAACTTAGAAGTCCCAGAGCTTTCAGAAGACTGTCTGTACCTCAACATTTACACTCCTGCAAACAGAGATCCTGATGTGGAGCTTCCTGTAAGAAACTTTTGCTTCAAGTAGGAATGCATTTTTTCACTCCATTTTCAGATTTATCCTGTGTCCAGGTGAGGGTTTCAGGTAAGAGACAATGGGAGTGATGAGAATCTGTATATTGCATTGTACAGGGGCAGTCGTTTAAGCTTCACACAATCAGAGGTATGATGGTTCAAACCCCAGCTTTGTTTGTCTCAGTCATTAGCCCCTTTTACACATTTCTGTTTTGAAACTGTGCTGAGAATGGTCCGAGCACGGTAACTGAGATAACTGAGTGTAAATGGCATGCAGACGTGAACTAGACCGTGCCAGACACAACAGGACTGCGCTAAACTTGTACTAGTTCATCAGTAGGGCTTGGCACAGTTCAGTTCTGGTGCTGTTCTCTGACAACAAAGAGTGCATTCATCAAAGGCTGCCTTCTTCACTTGTCTTTCCGCAAAATTACTAAATGTTATGGGTGCTGCCATGTTAATTTGCTTGTTTACCTCTAGAGAGTAGCAGTACTGTAGCTCACCACTAGGAGGCGAGGAACCGCGCTGGCATGGTGTGTAAAGGGTCATAAGGAACCCAGCTCGGCACGGATCGGTTTTCAGAGGGTAGTGTAAATGGGGCTAGTAAAACCTTTGGCAAACCCGCATTGCCTTCTGATGTTGGTGGGAGGGCCCTGTGGTGCCTGTGTTAGGCAGCCTCACTTCTGATAGTAAAGCACCCCCAAGGAAAGTTGTGGCTACCATGTATGAATGATTAAATGTAGCGTACAGCACCTTGGAGTCTCCTGATTTGGGAAGGTGGTATACAAGTACAGGTTGTTTACCATTTTATTTTTCTCAGGAATGCTTTGTGAATAAACACAGCAAATCATTGCATTTAAACACCTGTTCCATCCACCCTATTGTAACCTCCGTTAAGATCCCAGTGAAGAGACACACGGAGTCAGATAGCCAGAACTTTAACAACTTTAATGCGGAACACACAGGTCTTCTCATTCAAACAGATAGCCTTTTCACTCACGGTTTGGCTCTCTTTTCTGCCGCTAAGCCTCATGGGAAACACATAACACATAACAGCACCGTTTAACCGCTACACTATATAAGAGTGTCAAAAATTTTCCTCAGGCAATAAACTTAACTGTTCATAGTAACTTCTATGATGGCAAGCTCGTCGGGCCTTACACAGCACTCTCTTGCAATCACACTTCCATTTCCATGTGTCCCAGATGAAAATAAGGCAGATGCTCAGTTCAGATGTAAAGATCACTTTAAAGGACTCCTCATCCAAGAAGTTCCTCTCTGTTTATACACCCTTTTGATTAATACATTTTTTTTAAAGGTTTTCTGTTCTTGGGGTGAACCATTTCAGAATATGGTTGTGGATATGGCAAAGGGAAACTAAGCTTTGTGGTTGATTGGTTGTAAAGTAAAAGTATAATGCTGGATTTTGTATTGCCAATACTTGGGTTGTCATGAGATCAGCTTGATCTGAAAGGACAGCGGCAACAATAAGAAATCTGTAAGGGCCTGACTACTTATGGAAAGCCAGCGGTATGCTGTAAAATGACAATAGTCAAACTGGTAAATTGCTGTAAATTAATGGAGCTTTCCTGCATATACTAACAGACCTGCTTCTTTACCTCATGAGAATAATGTGCTGATTGGTGTTCAAGCTCAGCGTTAAAAATTTTTATGAGATTAATACCTCAAATTGCTTTTCAGGTCATGGTGTGGATCCATGGTGGAGGTTTTGTAGTTGGGTCTGCTTCAACATATGATGGTTCTGCTCTGGCTGCCTATCAGGATGTGGTTCTAGTTGTAATCCAGTATCGACTGGGAGCTTTGGGTTTTCTCAGGTATGAGTTACTGAAACCCAATTTGAGCATACCAGGATTGCATTTGGCTTGTTTAATGTAAATGATTCTGTATCGTATGCAGCACTGAAGATGAGCATATTCCAGGGAATATTGGCCTTTTGGACCAGATCCAAGCCCTGAGGTGGGTCAAGGAGCATATTCAAAATTTTGGAGGAAACCCAGATTTGGTCACCATATTTGGTGAATCTGCTGGTGGTATCAGTGTCTCACTTCTGGTATGAAGTCATTTGTCATAAATTATGTCTTGCCAATAAACAATTTTTAATTTAATCATTTATTTAACCACTCAGCTTCTGTCTCCCTTGTCTGATGGCCTGTTTCATCGAGCCATTGCTGAGAGTGGAACAGCTGCAATGGATGTGCTTTGGAACAATCCTGTACCAGTGATGCAGGTTAGTTGTCGGCCTTTTTTTCTTTCTCTAATTCTTCAGTTTAATTTGATTCCAAATGAATGAGAATGCGTTTTTCTACAGGCCGTAGCAAATGCCTCAGGCTGTAGCCTGGAAAGCACAGAGAAGATTGCTGCATGCATGAAGAACCTTGATATTGGCACCATATTGGCATTTGAAAAGGTGAGATGTTAAATTGAAAATTTGATCTCATTCTACTACATTTTAACGCATCTATTTTTTTTCCCCCCAAGGATCCATTTTTGAGATTTCCTGTGAATGTTGATGGGCACTTCCTGACTGTGCATGAGTTGTTCCAGAATCAGGAACTCATTACTATACCAATCATGACTGGGGTTAATAATCATGAAGGAGGTTTTGTTGTTGCTGATGTAAGCTCAGTTTTTTTTTTTTTTTTTTTTTTTTGCATTTGCAAAGGTCTTCTGTTGGATGTGTTACTGGTTTGATTCTCTTCTCGTAGCACTTTGGACCTCTAAATTGGACAGAAGGAATGAGTCGAGAGCAGGTTGCGAAGATGCTGTCCATTTTTTACCCCCCTGTGAGATCCTCTTTGCCTGATATGTCGATGTTGCTTTTTCCTCCGGAGGATTTTCTTTCATTTATTTTTTTTTTCTCTCCGAGGCCCAAGAAGCAGCCATCAGAGATCTGATTCTGAGGAATTACATTGAATCTGGTGAAGATCGCACCCGAAACAGAGATGGATTCACTGAGTTTATTGGGGATTACTTTTTTACCATCCCAGCCATTAAAATAGCAAATTCACACAGAGGTATTTCATTCCAGGCAAAAATGATGCCTACTGGTTCAGTATTGGGTATTTACTTAATTTTCTAAGCAAACATTTTACTTTTATTTTTATGCACTTCACTAGATGCAGGAGCTGCTGTGTACTTGTATGAGTATCATCACGCTCCCACGTGCCTGCAGAAAATAAGGCCCAGCTTTGTTAAGTGTGACCATTTAGATGAAATCTTCATGGTGCTGGGATACTGCTTCACAACTACACATGTAAAATTAGCTGGTAACTGAACTAACTTACCCTAGATATTCAGTGTGTTTATGTATTTTTACCTAATAGCTTTGCTGTTAACTGATTTAGATCAATGTCCCAAAGAGGAGGAAGAGTTTAGCAAAATCATGATGAGCTATTGGGGTAACTTTGCTCGCACAGGGTAAGAGTTGCTGATTATTCAGATTTTTTTCTTTTTTTTTCTTTTTTATTATCCTGTTTAATGTTTTTTTGGCTCGTAGGTCTCCAAATGGAGAGGGTCTTGTCAACTGGCCTAAGTATGGAGCAGATGAAAAGTATCTGTCTCTTGACCTGAAGAAGCAGGTTTCTGCTCAATTCCTCAAGAAGGATAATTTCCTCTTTCTGACCAAAACTCTGCCAGAGAAGATCCAGAAGCTTGAGGAGAAAATGGAGCACAGCGAGCTGTAGTATGGCTTCATGGAGAATAAAAAAGCTGTTTTTACCAGATTCTCCACATTTTTAGTAATGACGTTTTCAAAGGATGCATTACTAAAAAACAATTTTTTTTGTCTTTGCTGTAAAAAAAAAATGCATTGATCAAAGTGCTTGCTGTTATAGATCTATTCTGCTGTTTTTCTACAGTTAAGCGCTTCAGAATAAAATAAAGAGAAAATTGTAAAATTAAGAGTCTTAGGATTTCATTAGAAAAATACCTCCTGGTATGTTTAAAAAAAAAAAAAAAAAAAACTGCAATTGCTTGATAGTGACCCAAAGAACCATCAGCTAAAGTACATGATTTTTGTGTTTTGTTTTTTAAACTGATTAAAAGTAAAGAATGGAATTGCTTTAAAGGACTTTTCTGTAAAGCTTTCTGATCTAGTACATATTTTATTTTGCAGTACGTCTTTGGTGTGGGGCCAAGATTAATTCTACAGGGGCACTGGGCCCTGTTGGCACCCATCTAGAACCACCCATGCTAAATGAATCGAGACCACCCACTCCTCATAAAACTTAACTTTTTTTATATTTCAAAAGTTCTTTAGATGATGGCATATTTCATATCAGCAGTTTAACAAATTTGTAACTCGACTCTCCAGGTAACTGTTATTCATGGCCATATTAAAATTTAACAGCAAGAAAAACTTTCTTGCAAGAGTTATTAGGCAGCTTATTTTAATAGAAATCAACATTAAAAAACTACATTTTGTAATCTGATTATAATTGATATGAAAATGTTTGATCTGAAATATTTGAATGGAACAATAAGGAAAACATTGCTATAATCACTGCTCTATAGCCTTTTTCTAATGAGGCAAATGCTAACATGGAAACATGATTCCCACAAAAGAAGAGATTTTAATAATTTTTATTACCGAGTGCTTAAGCTGAAAAGCTCCCTGATATTTGATGTGAGCAGTTCAAAAGGTCAAACCTAAAGCTTCAAATGAAATCAAGCATAGGGTATTGATAAAAAGCAACACACTTTAAAGGCAAATCATATTATAGGGGTTCAGAATTTCAATAAAAAGATGACATGAAGTTTGTGACATTAAGGAGGCTTCAACAGGAAACTTGTTTGCAGATGTTTGCAAAATCGCTGTATAACTTAAAAGGTGCTGGCACTGGTTTGTACGGCTGAATCCCAAACTGCTCCGCAACCACTAACACTTAACTATCAAGTCACACTTGCAGCTGTGGAAGGTGCCTTGATTGAAGGTGGGTGGGTATAAACGGGAATATGACAGCCTCTTCCCTCAATGGAAAAAGGCGGTCCTTGCTAAGGCAACACAGTGACGCCCCAATGTGTGGCTGTAGCTCTGTGGCACAGGGTGACAATCACATTTGCCACTTTAAACAAATGTATATGGTCAAATAAAACAATTTCAAAGAGGACCTTCTATTTTTGGAATTATTAAGTTTTTTTCTTATACCCAACTTGTGATTTTTCATCAGTGGGAAGAGGATGCAGAAAACCGGAGGAACTCCTTTAAGTTTCACCGCTATTTAAGAGCTGAACAGTCCAATCGCCCCACCCACTACGTTGTTTGGGACGGCCCTTAATGTGTAGGACCCTCAGAGGGAACAGTGCAACAGGGCTAGCGCTTAGAGGGCAGTTTGGGATTGGGCCTATGTTTTACCAACCTGCCCAGAAAAGTGCACTTGGAGTAAGAAAGCTACTGGGCATCACCAACAGATGGCCATAGTGAAATATATACAAAGTTACTTTAAACTTCCAGTTGCACTTTGAGTTGTTGGGTCTGGGCAATGATCAGCACTTCAAATCATCCGAAAGGAAAAAGCTTTGCCGCTACTAAAGCCAGGCAAAAACGCTGTCAGCCAGGAGAACACATTGTAAGAATGGAGGCTTTACAAAACAAAACAAGTATATTTGGATACTTCATTTTAAACTACTGTATAGATTACCTACTGCATTACAATACATCTTTCCAGCTTTTATAATAGGCTAATATGTTGGATGCGGTGACAGGTTTGATGCATTACCAGAAAATGATGGGTTTCCCCCCCCTAAGATCAATCTTCCAATGTTGAGCTTGATCAAATGTAAGCCTGAACTCTTACATTTGCCAATTTTGCCATTATCACGTATTTCTTTGCTGAATATACCAAATGAAACCAAATATATCTTAGGACTTGAAACCAATAGAAGCACCTGAGATGTCTTTCTTTTAATTTACCAATTTAAAACAAAACAAGGCATGCTGCTTTATACAAACCAACCACCTTTAGATCATGGTTTCAAGTGCAGTGTTGATTAGATCTTAAACGCAGCACTCACTCGAACATGTTTGGCACTGAGGCTGGTATAATACTATGATATAACAGAATACATTGAACACCTTTATCTGCTTCAAGCACTATCTGGTACAGACGTGGATCTGGAATCACAGGCACATACAGTCTGATCCTTTAATGGTCATATAAGCGGTACCGGTACTGTTTTGTCAGTAGGGAATAAATAAACCTTTATGTAACCCGTTCTCATGCTGCGCTATTTAGGTTAAGGTCGTAATAGGTCGAGGCGATAAACAGTGACATGGGAGGCCCTTCAGAGTGCATGTGTAGAGGAAATATAGGTATGTTAGGTCAGGGTGACACAAGCAGGTAGAATTGCGCAGTAAAACCCAACCTCAAACAACATTGAGGGTTAAGGTCACAAGATATCAGGACGTTGACGTCCTCATCAGAGGCAAATCAAGTGTAAGGGTTAATTTGCTTAAAGCTTGATGCATCAAGATGTCCAAGACTGCATGTTGCGCAGCATAGCCTCAAACCGCTCCATGTTCGGGGCGTCGGCGTGGGGCAGGTGGTCTGTCAGCCGACTATACAGGCTGAAAGACTTCAACTCCAGCCAGATGAAACCAAAACGGTCCTCATCGAAAAGCACAAAGAGCCCTGGTGTGCGCTCTGGACTCGTGAAGCCGTGACCAGCAATCAGGCCTGTTCCATAGAAGCTGAAACACAAAATTCATCAATATTAAGAATTCAGGGATGTTTTCAAAAGAGAACCAAATGATAAAGTGGCAAATCAGATTTAAAAACATTGATCAAGTTATATTCAGGCTAAATCCTGATTCTTAGGATTATGGAGCTCATAGCTATGGGCGCATCAATTGATTGGCTGGTTGATCAATCAGCTTTGATTTACAGAGATCGCTAATTTACCCATACTTGGTTGTGAAACTGATCTCATTTACTTCTGGAAATGTCTGAAAATATGCAAAAATATAAATTGTAAATTTATATTTAGGAGAATTATGTAATTT